CACCCCTCCACGTGGCAAGGCATAAAGCAGGTGACGAGAGGGTTCTCCACCAGCTTCACAACCCACTAGTGTCAGTCAAAAGACAAATGATCCACAGCAGCACTTTTTCCACAGCGCAGAACCAGTTTCTAACCTAGCATCAAGGGGGCTGGAAGTGTACCAAAATTCATTTCCATGCTTTGGTTACCCAGTAATAAGATGTAGGTGGCCATCTTTAAGAATGGGCTCCTCTCTGACCTCCTTAGGATATCAAGACAAGACATTCAACAAACAGCCTCATGTTCAGAATGAAGAAGGAAGTGGTTGAGAGTAGGGAAGTATTTCCAAACCAACTGTAATTATATAGGATAAGAAATAAACTTATCATATATAAGAACTGAGGAGAACCTGTACTCACCTTTCATCCAAATGTAATTTTTCTCTAATCCTTAGTGTACTTAGATCTAACAAAACATTTTTTTAATTTAAAAATCACTAGGATATAAAAAATCAAACTAAAAAGGAAATAATTTTCCCCTAAAATCTCTTCCCAAAGTTTAACAGCTCCTGTACTTACATGTTTATGCATTGTAAAACACTCAGCCTCTAGGATAAGTAAAGCACCAGAAGAGAAAAAAGAAAACCATGAGTCTCCCCACCCCTGGAAATTACCTGCTACAAAAACCATTCCTCTTATTCCCTTAAAGCAGTTTAGAAGCCTACTAACTTGTCTCCTTGATTTTTCCCACATGGACCAAGTATGTACTCTGCAAATAGTGGTATCTCAAGCTTTCAGATGGAAGCTGCAAGGCAGACTGAGATAATTCTTCCAAATGGAACTAAATTAACTCATGCAGTAGAAAGTATTTTAATGTAGTAACAAGCTCTAATACACAGGCCAAATATCTGCTGGAATCCAGGGGAGAAATTTTTGTTTTAAGTGAAGTCTTATTAAAATATAATTCACATACCACAAAGCTTTTAAGTGTGTAATTCAGTTGTTCCTTATATATTTAGAAAACTAAGCATTAACCACTATTAGCTCCAGAGCATTTTTGCCCTCCCCCAAAGAAAAATAAACCCACACACATTAGCTGCAACTCTTCATTTTTTTCCTTCCCACATTCTTCATGGAGTTGCCTATTCTATATACATGAAGTCATAAACTATGTGGTCTTTTTTTATCTATCTTTTTTCATTTGTTATGTTTTCAAGGTTTATCCATATAGCATCATACCTCATGCCTTTTTAAGACTGATTTTTGTTTATCCACTCACCAGGTGATAGACATTTGTTTCTACTTCCAGCTATTGTAAATAATGCTACTATATCTGCATACAAGTCTTTGTATAAACATATATTTTCATTTCTTTCATGTATATCCTATGAGTGGAATTTCTGGGTCATGGGATAACTCTATGTTTAACTTCTTAGGGAACTTTCAAATTGTTTTCCAAAGTAGCTGTACCATTTTACATTCCCACCAGCAATGTGTGAGAATTCCAACTTCTTTACATCCTTGATAACATCTGTTATTGTCTTTTTTATTATAGCCATCCTAGTGAGTGTCAAGAGTTATCTCAGTGTGGTTTTGATTTGCATTTCTCTGATGACTAATGATGTTGCGCATCTTTATATGCAAGGAAGAGCTTTCATTCCTTCACACAGTAGTCAGAATAGAGCCTGCTGGAAAGTATTTGTCAGACAGGGAATTACTTCTTTGTGCTTAAAGAGATTTCCAAAATGTTTATAACTGTGATTCAGTAGGCAGTTGGGAGCTTTTTAATTCTTCTTTTGAAGAGGTATTTCAGAGAATTTTTTCAAAGGCATGGTCATCAAAAGAGTTTGGGAGAAAGAATGGCCACTTTGCACAGTGCTCTGGAGAGCAGCTGAGACTGATTCCAAACTTGGATATTTTAAGAGCAACTTTGAGAAAAAGCTCTTATTCTATGTATTTATGAACTTCACCCTGGACAAAGACCATTTCCTTACCCCGTAAACATCAATAAAGGTTTTAGAAAATTGGAAAGAACTTGGCAACCAACAGAGATGGCCCCAGTGCTTAGAAGAGGAGCCACCAGTCCAACTCGTAGAAAAATTAAAACCAGGATTGGACATAACCCAGTAGAGGCAAACTGGTCCACTGTAGGAAGTAAGATCCTTTACTAAGTAAGTAATACGTGGTGGAAAAGAATATAATGAAACTTTCCAAACATATCAAGAAAAAAAATTAAATTCTACTAGTCTATATTAACTGCAATAATTAATTCTTCTAGAAAATGCCAAAGCAAGACACCTGTGCTCAATTCTGAGTAAATTTTTCTCCTTTTTCTCATTAGAGGTTCTCCAGTTTCCTATGAACCAGCAAACCCCCTTTACACAGATGTTATACACAAAGGCCTTATATTTTACATAGGTAATGCAGTATCTACCAGCATATTTTAGTTGTCAAAGCTCAAATGTACATAGCATTTACACACTGCAAAGCCACACCTTAATAACTCAAGGTAACTCTTTGTAAGACTCTAATGTATTACAGTTGCATAGTGTTGATAATTATTTACAATTTATAAGCAGATAAAACTTTGTTGAGAAATGGAATCTACATCAAACAAGGGTTCCCCCAACAAGGAATTCATGAAATACACTTCAGCAACCATTGTTCTAAATCTCTAAACTAGAACTGGTACAAATTACTGCACTGCCCAGTGCCCCTAGCACTTCTCATTTCAGTCCCTGCGCCCTCTCCCCTACCCCCAGGCACAGAGTTTGATTTCTACCCTCATCAACTTGGGTTTCCTGTTGACATCATGATTAGGTTACTAATAATTAACAACTGCTTTATTATTTAACATGGACTGAGTACCACTAATGTGATAGGGACTGCAGTACACACATAACCACATCATTAGTCCTAATCTCTGCCCAGTGGGTACCTAATCTAAGTTAATTGAGATCTCCTAGTCTGAAAACAAATTCCCACTAAAAGGTTTAGAACACTGTCACCACTGAGCAGAATTTGCAAATGACAGAGAAAGTGGCCTGCCAGATGGAAGCGGCTGTCCTTAATCCCCTCAAGCAGGTGATTCAGCTCTTTCCCTGAGCCAAGGCTCAGAAAAGGTCACGGATTTGTTTGCAATTTCTGTATCCTTATAATCTCCAGAAATAATCTCTCATTAAATATCTACTAGGCTTGCATTATTCC